TGCCTAAAAGCCTGTTTTCAATTCTTTTCTCGTAAGATTTCACGGAACCGTAGCCAGACTACAGAAAGCCTTCTCTGGTATTTTTCTATTGACTAGGGAACATTTTCCGCCTCCAAATTCAAAAAATTCTCTTATTTTGTAAAATGGTAGTGTACTATTGTAGTATGCTTAAAAAAATATTTTTAGCTGCCATCGTCAAGGGGGCGTGGCCAGACAACAATTAAAAGTTTGCATACTATCACATAGTGTAATGCAATTCAGTACAAGCTATTCGTAATTATGATATCAACGTTTTCCTTCAGCACCGTGGACTTTTCGCAGCTGTCCGCTCTCGTGAAATGATGTAAAAGAAAAAGAAGCCCACGTGCGTCGGCTCGTGCCATTGCTGCCTACAGCACATATCTGTTTATTTGCAGAAAGAAGTTTCTTGCACAACCTATTGTTTACAACACAAGTCGATGAAATTTTCGAAAATGTGTACCCAGGCAGCAATGGCGCGAGCCGACGCACGTGGGGCTCTTTTACATCATTTCACGACAGCGGACAACTGCAAAAGGTCCACGGTGCTGCAGGAAAAGTTAACATCATAATTACGAATAACTTGTACTGCACTGCATTACGCAGTGCAGGATAGTATGCAAACTTTTATTTGTTTTCTGGCCACGCCCCCTTGACGATGGCAGCTAAGAATATTTTTTTAAGCATACTACAATAGTACACTACTGTTTTACAAAATATGAGAATTTTTTGAATTTGGAGGCGGAAAATGTTCCCTGGTGAGTATAATTTACTATAGAATATTACATTGAATAATAATATTGACCGTCTGTCTAGCAAATGGTATTTGTCAGAAAGCTGACTGATCACAATCAGTAAGTACTGCAAAAGGATGGCTTTGTCCCGTGCTCCTAACTCCTAAGCTCGCTCACATTGATTACCTTTTACATACAGAGTAGTACTCCAAGTACCTATTTTACGCGTATTATGAACATCTTCCCCTCCGCTAACTGTACTGGTACATCACCGCCCGACGGGTTTTAAACAGAGCCGCTTGGATTTTCTTGATACTGGTTTCTTGTTCCTGTGCTTTTAGAAGGTTCCCTAACTTAGCTGGAACGGTACATAACGCACAATGTGAACTGTGGAAAAGTGCTTGTGGTGCACCGCAGGTGGCCCGATGAAGACTTTGAATGTCACCCACTTTGTGTTACTTTGAACAAACGATGGTTTAACGAAAACAAAAGCAATTTATATAGCAGCTCACGAAAACGAAGTGGAAAGGAATCTGTAACAGAAGCAAGAACTCAGGCAACTAGCCGCGCAGTCGCAGTACACCGAGATTACCGACACGATGTTAGCCATAAATGTACGTCTCTATACAAGTGCCAGAATATTTCGGTACAGCCAAATAAAGACCGCAAAAGCTTGTTGTTCATTCATGCCAATTGCTAGTAAATAGACCGCGAAGAAACGCGACAAGCGATGTCGATGAAGAGCAGACTCAGTCTTTGTAATGCCCGTCCAGCAGATGTAGGGCTAGTTTACTTAGGTTTGTATTCCAGTGTCAGTGCGTCACGAGGGGGCGGACCGAATTCAGTATCGGTTGCCGGGTGTTTATTCGCATGATCGGTAACACGGTAATGGCGGTGTGTGCGGAAATCCACGGTGGCGCCGCCGGGCGATGGATGTTCTGGGACGAAGAAGCCGTGCAGAGAGCTGTAATCTGTATCTGGCGGCGCAACAATCCTGTGATGCATACAACGATATCGCTGAGGATTGCAGAGTGGATGTTTTAAACCCGGTAAGCGTGGGATTGTAGACTGGCTGTTTCGGCGGCATAAGCAGCGTACTATCAAGGCAAATGCACTGACTAACAACGCTTTAACTGCACTGTTTGCACCTGTCGACGAAGTGTCCTTCGCGGACCTACCGCTGCCGATCGTATCGTGTATTCTGCTGAACCTGGATTGGAGTACCCAGTTTTAATGCGAGCCAGTAAGTTCCACACTCTGGATCCACATAGTACTTCAATTTTTCTCATATTTCGCTCCCTTTAGGTTAATGTTATCATATTTTGCTCACCAGGTGTTAAATTTTCCTGACAAAATTAAATGCACAAAAATTACTACCTTTCATAGAAGGAGTTAAAACTGCCCTATCACTTTTAAAGCATAATCATCAATAAGTTTTCTTTTCTGTTTTCATGAAGACACAAAGGAACAACAGGAAGTGAACCGGGTGGTGCTGGTGACCCAAATAGTGCTGAGCCCATATACTTAAAGTAAAGTACCTTATCGATACAGTTCATAATTTAAAGCCCCCAAACAGTAGCAAATTTCTGTACGGCTACGTACGGTTTCCGTTTACGGCTCCTACTGTACGGTACGGTTACGGCAAAAATAACTGGATTGACCGTACGGTATACCGTATACGGCAGTACCGTATACGGCAAGCCCATTGTAAAAGCGTGTTTTTGGCTTACGGTTACGTACGGCACTTTCGTTACCGTACCAATTTTCACTACGGTTACGTACTGTTGTGCCGTACAGTATGCCGTATACGGCAGTATAGTATACTGTTTGGGGGCTCTAGTTCATATTACTGTAGCCGCCCGCACAAGTTAGACCACAGAGTCGGTATACGGGAAAAAAGCGCAGCAAATATACCTACTCTAACCGGGTAAAATGCACTCTCCGAACTTTACTTCCAGTAAATCAAGGTTTTCGGGTTTTGCAAATGGTCCGCTGCATCGGTGGACCAGTTTGAGCAGACAACCACGCTACCTGCAGGCTGCGCATGGCGTTCATGAAATCGCCGCCTGCGCACGGCTGCAGCGGTACGCAGACACGCAGCCCGCGTGCGGTTAGGTATGCTTCGATTGAAACTGTGATGGCAGCTATGTGAATCGAACCGTGCTGCTGCACCCCTCTGTGAGACCGGGATCACTAGCGTTCACGTCAGTGGCGCTACGCCTGTGGCGCTACGCCTTTGGACTACGTGTCTGTGTTGTGTCTCTTGTGATTGGCTTGCGTTCTGATAGTGGGCGCGGCATAGCACGTGCTGCACAGCGCCGCACGCTGTTGAATTGGCTCTACGATTTACGATCGAGCTGCGCCGATCACTTGTTGATTTCTGTTCTCCAGAATTTCAATATTATTAAAAAGTCAGCGATTACGGTGCGACGTTTTGTGTTTCCGCATAGCTCGCGACCCAGATCGTGTCGCTCACTCCACGGGATAGATTCCGTTTCTGTCTCCGTCTGTGGATCCATTCTGGATCTACCATTAGATGGTAGCAGAGCCGACAGCGGTTCTCTGATTTGATTTGTGTCAGGCAAAGTTGGCCTGTTATTGACGTGGAACCCGACCAGTAAGGCACAGGTCTGTACTCACAGCAAAGCGCACACCACAAGCGGTGAACTGCCTCATCTGACGTGGATTTTCCAGCTTCGGTTTTCGGTACGGGATCTTCAGCGAAGAACCGTACTGTTTCCTTAGCTGTGCAAGAGTCAAAGAGTTCAGTCGGCGGTGTTCCTCGGTGCGGAGTCTTCAGCGAAGACCTGCACTGGTGTCACCGTTACTCGGCAAGGCTTCAGCGAAGCCTAAGCCGTGGGCCACAAGCGGCGAAGCGCCAAAAGGGGTGCACGGGAAAAGATAGATCAGACTCCTCCAAACTGGAGTAGAGCGCCACTACTGTTGCTACGGCAGTCAGCCGGCACAGTAACTCACCGAAAGCGTGCGGCACAACCGTTACGGTAAAACCGGCGGCAGCGCGGGAACGGACAGTGGAAGAAGAATCTGGATCATCTGGATCGATTCTCGTGGAACGGACGAGGAAACAGGTAGAAAACCCGTTATTAATTACGGGATTGGTTAGATGGTAAAATTCTCATTTTTCATTGGCCCGTACTGAGCTGAGCGTAGAAATAGGCGGAGTTTTGCACGCGGCGCGCATGTCTGGCCGTTGACCGTGACGTCAGGCAGATAAAAATTCTTAACGGATTAACGTGATTGGTCAGTTATCTGAGCTGTGATTGGCCGAAATTTGAATTGAATATTTTGAGCTAGCGGACCAATCAGAAAGAAGTAAACAACCCGAATGGGGATTTTCCGCTGAACTCTAGCTGCAAGGGGAAATTTGATTTGAGATAAGATAATTGAGACGAAAAGTGACCTTTTGAGTTCAGACAAAGGAAAAGTGACCTTTGACCAAAGTCGAGCTAGAAAGTGACCTTGACATAATTGAGCTGGAAATTGACCTTTAACTTGAAATTGAGTTGAGAAGTGACCTTTTAACAGAAGTTGAGTTGGAAAGTGACCTTTACCAAAAAGTTGGAATTGACCAAATTGACCAATTTAAGTGACCTTTATGATCTGAAACTGACGAACGGTGACCTTTATTGAAGCGAAATTGAACTGAATAGTAGTACAGCGATATCAGCAGCTGTAGGAATTCATTCGTTAACGTGTTATGAACTGCAAGAACGGTTTCGAAGTTTTGTCCGAAAGTGACCTTTTAGGGCAAATCTCTCGAACTTTTTATCAAAAAAGTGACCTTTAGACGGAACTTAGCCGAAATTTTTCAGTCGAAAAGTGACCTTTACAAAGGACTTAGAAAAAATTTCGAGGTACAAAGTGACCTTTAGGACAATCGCATAAACCATACAATAACGCGTGTGTGAGAACAATTGGCAGGAGCGTCCAAGTTATCCGATCAACATGGACAAAGACAAAGAGGAACCGACATCTACCAGCAGTCAGGGAAGCAGGAGCTCCCGGGGATCACAACAAAGCGTAATCGATCCCTATAAGAAAGAATACAAGTCGCTCGCGCGTCCAGTCGGACATGATAGACAGACCCGAGCGGCCGTGACCTTTGCAAGGAAGGACAGTAAAGGCAGTGACAGCACATATCAAGTGGCGCTAGGGGCTACACAGAATGAAGAGAGCTCCAGCGGCGACGGAAAGGAAACTCTCGCACCTGTAGCGGGAGATAATCCGATGAACCAGAAAAAGGTCACCGGGGAGGAAAAGCCCACAGAAAGGGGAGCGGAACCGGTCGGAGCATCACAGTTGGATGCTACCACCAGCAGAACGAATGAGCAGGATAAAAATGTAAACCTGGCTCAAGTGGAAGCTCAAGTGGAAGATGGAAACACAAAGGTCACCGAAGAGGACTTGGCGGAACTGGGACTGGATGACCTTTCACTAAACGATAAGACTGTCGGTGATGACCTTTGGGCAACTCCAATGGTCTCGGATGAATCGAATGAATCATACTTCACGGATGATGAAGCGACGATGAATATGTCCTTCCAGACTGCGATGAAAGAAGCTGACCGTGCTGAAGGGATGACACCATTCAAGGACATACCCGAGTACCTTATTGAACGGACACAAACAGGAAAGGTCAGCAATGTTAGACCGCCATCACCGAACAGTCCCACAACGACTTTGAGGACTCGCGTGAGGGAGTTGGAAAGCGAACTCGAAGCCAAGGAAAGTCAGGCAATGAAACGAACAAAAGAAAACCGGGATAAGCTGTCGTCACTGGAAGCGCGAATTTATGAATTGGAACAACAACAAGTTGACCTGGAAAGCGCAGCGGATGAATGGAAAATCAAATACGAACGTCAGAGAGAACTCGCGGAAGAATATTTGAAAATGGCAGATGACAGAGAAATGGAAGGTCATCTCGCGGTCGGTGACCTTAATGAGAGTATGTCAGAAGAAACAGCGGAAAGGTCACGGCACTTAGCCGAATTGAAGGACGAATGCGACTCGATGAAACTAAAGGTCACCGAAGCTGAAACGAAAAGAGACGAATACGCAACAAAACTCGCCGATGCTACTCAGCGACTGTTGACGAACACCACCGAAGTCTTCAAGCTCAGGAATGACCTGAAGCTGCGCGGCGAGAATATCGGGACCCTCCAGAAGGAGTCATACGATCACCAGCAAAGGGCTGATGAAGCCGCTAAGGTGGCAAAGGACTTGCGAGATCTTACAGCCACCGAAGGTGTACGGTTGAAAAATGAAATAAGACAGGTGATGGAAGAGAACAAGGCGTTGAAGGATGACAACAAAAAGGTCACCGATGAGATCAAAGAGTTAAAAGAAGCCGCCAAGACAATGGCAGAACAAGGCGCGAGGTGGGAGCACGAGGCACACCTCTTGGACGAAAAGGTCACAGTGCTCGAGTTGAAGGATAAAGAGTGGCAACAAACGGTCCATCAGAAGACACAGGAGATTATCAGACTGAATACGGAGCTGATTGATATGACACAAACGGCGATGACAAGAGAAGATGAGGTCACCGTGACGAAAAATCAGCTGAAAGCAGCAGCCGAAGAATACACGACGTTGGAAAGGGATGTGACACAGTTGGCGGAACACATCAGGAAAGTGGAAAATGATACTGAAAAGGTCATTAAAGACAAAACGCTTCAACTGCATCAGCAGATGTCGAAGGTCAACCAAGAGAATCAGAATCTGAAGAATGAGAAAGAACAATCCGATTTAAGGATTAAGCGCCTTGAAGATGAGAATAAAGCTCTTCAAACGTCCAACAAACACAAAGATGAACAGCTCCTACAACACGGAGTCAGAACAGCAACGGTGGAATCGCCCCCGCCCAGTTATAGCAAGGCGCATGAAACGGGCACGGGCAAAAGCTTCCACTTTGAGATGCCGCTACGAACCGGCACCGGTAAGGGAAGTGTTAAAAATGAAAGAGATGGCGAAAAGGTCAAAGACGACAAAGAGCCACCTTCGGAAAGTTACCCGCATATGAGTCGAGGTGACCCTTCACAATTTCCCCCGCACATTGAAACGAATGTGTTTATCGACGAAGGACGACGAGACAGACCCCCCAGCCGGCAGGAACGTCCAAGGAAGTCTCGTTATGGGAAGGCGCAACGAACTCACAATGATGATGAAAGTAGCGAAGAAGACGAGGATCAGAGAGCAGAAAACACAGCGGTACAATTAACAAAGGCACTCAATTCGATGGCTCGGAAAACACCCCTCATGACCTTTGACGGCAGCCGAGACACTGTGAGTGGATGGACACGGTTGGTAAAAGAAACCCAAAGGACTTACCAGCTGACGGACGACCAAGTCATGATTGAGATAGCCAGTGCAGTGAAAGGTCCTGCAAAAACATGGTTTGAAGGAGAAAAGGACATCGCAGCAGAAGATGGAATCGAATATTCAATAACTGAATGGATGGAGAAATTCAAAGATGAATATGGCGATGGAGACGAAGAAGTCTTAGGCTTACGTGAGGCCTATGCGAGGAAATTTGAACTCGGAAAGGAATCGCTTGACCAGTATTATCAGGCGATAATGCGCTTCAAAGCGAAGAGAATTATCACCGAAAAGCAAGCAGTCGGCTTCCTAATTGAAGGATGTAGAGGGGATAACGAACTCTACAAGGCATTGCGTATACAGAAGTGTAAGACGCCAACGGACGTGAAGGACTTCTTCCGACATTGGGCAACGGGAGAGGAAAAGTATAAGGCGCCGAAAGGTCAACGTAATCAAGAATACGTGACCATCCGCCAAGGTCAAGTTGAAAACGTGCCGCAACAGAGAATGGCAGCTGCGCCAGCCCAGCAGCCGGTTGAGTACCGCGTGGAGACTCCGGTCAGAGAGGTCACCGAAAAGGTGACCTTTATCGACAGTCAGACGGGGCAACCGATAACATACGCGATGGTGGCGGCGATACAGGCAGCAGCTCAAGTGAGACCAGTAGCCCAGAATGTGGCTCCACAGAATGTGGCCCCACCTGCACCACAGAATATGGTCCCCATGAATGTCGGGTTACCACAACAAGGAGGGGGTAACGGTAACTTTGGCGGAAATGGATATGGGAATGGAAACTGGAATGGAGGCCAAGGAAACTTTCAGAATCAAGGTCAAGGTCAAGGCAACTTTCAGCCAAATAGAGGAAACCAGAACTACCAGCAGAATCAAGGGTCACGGACAGAATTCAAGTTCCAAATGATTGACGGATGGGTGGCGAACAACGTTCAGATGTGCCAATACTGTATGTATGGCAACCACCAGACCCAGGGATGCAAATTCGCCAACACACCACCGGAACAGAACCCAAACCTGTTTGCCTTCAACGAGTGGCAACGACTGCGCGGGCTCGGTGGTTGGCGCCAAGCGGTCGCAAATGGATATGACCTGATTACGCAATGGTACCAGGCGAAAGCGAACTTCCAGAATCAGCAAGGTAACGGAAACTATGGAAATGGAAATGGGGGCGGCCAAGGCGGCGGCTACCGCGGCGGTGGCTTCGGTCGCGGCGGCTTCAGAGGAAGAAACAGAGGCTTTGGCCGCGGAAACTTCAGAGGAGGCCAGAACAATGGCGGCGGCCAAGGAAACTACCAACAGGGTGGTGGCCAGCCAAACGGAGGTGGCCCGGTGATCGAGCAAGCACAAGGACATGTGCAGGGCGCGCAACAAGGTGGAGCGCCGGTTCAGGGAAACGGGCAAGATCAGTAGGCACCGGTGAGCCTACTGATCGACCCGACCCCAAACCACCGGATAAAAGGGAAAGGTCACCACTGCAGAATGGTACTGCAGTGAACGTGACCACTGCAACGGCTATATGGATGCCGTCAGCGAAAAAGCAAAGTGGACCGGCTATATGGATGCCGCAACCACAAGAAACGGCTAGATGGATGTCGCCACAGCAAAGAGAAACGGCTATATGGATGCCGTCATCGCAAAAAGAAAAGGGAACGGTTATAAGGATACCGTCACAGAATCAAAGGTCACCGCAGAATGGTACTGCGAGTGGAAACGTCCAAGTGGATAAAAGGTCACCGCAGAATGGTACTGCGAGTGGAAACGTGCAACGGGACCAAAGGTCACCGCAGAATGGTACTGCGAGTGGAAACTGTCGTGACGGTAGCGCGACACTGCAAAAAGTGCAGCAAAATGAAAGGTCACCGTACTGCAGCGAAGAAGTGTTAGCGCAACGACGCGCACAACGTAATGCCAAGATTCGACAAGCGCTGTTAAACCAAAAGAAACCGCAAACTGATACCGCAGAAGAAGTGGAAATGCACCACGAATGGTTCCGGAAACAGATAAATGAAAACGACAAGGCGAATGAGCCAAGGTGCGATTGCTACGGGGAACCAAAGCCAAAGTTTTGGAATTGTTCAGAAGACGAAGAAGAGAAGCGAATAAGGCAAGAATGGATTAAGCAGAATATCAACGTTATTAGTAAAGATGAAAGGTCACCTTCTGTTGGAAAAGTCCAAGTGAAAGGTCAGGGAGCGAATGTGAATGTGAAAGGTCACGGCGATAGCGTCGTGTTAAAAGGTCAAGAAACAGACTTGACACTGCGAACAGCGCAGCAAAAGAATAATGAAATGGCACGGAACTCCGACGACTCACTTGTGGACGCAGTAACATTACAACAGAAGGAGGACTGGCAAAAAGTGGCCTACAGACCGAATGGCAATCACGGGATGTGGATACCTGTGACGCCGAAGGCAAAGCAGAAAGCGAAAATGTCACAAGAGGACTACTGGGACATGCAACAGTTGCGAACGCAATGTGAAAGAAAGCGACTGGAAGAGTTGGTTACCGGGAAACCAGCGCAAGGGTCATCGAACCCAGTCCCAGTATTCAATCCAGAGGAATATAAGAAGACATCTGCTGACTGGAATCATTCACGTAATGCTCCACCACAGGATAAACCGCCGAATTATGGAGAAAAAGTCCCCATACAAAAGCTGACAGGTGGCGGATTTGTCATGAAGCGCAACGAAAGGTCACAGGACTTAGCGCAAAATGAACAAAAAGGACGGTCAAATGAAATGGCGCAAACGAAACAGAGTAACGCAGTTGAAAGGTCACGGGACTTATCGGAGGCGCTGAAAAAGGATGCCAATGACAAGTCACCAGCCCGAACAGACGGAATGTCTTCACAAATTGATCAGACGAAAACGAACAATGAAGTCTCCGCGAAGGTGATCGAATGGATGACCGAAAAAGGATATGACATGGTTACATATGAAAGGTCACCAGATGAGATGAAAGATAGCGAAGAAGACGAATTGAAGCGAGCTGACCAAATAACAAGCGAAGTCATTCAGAAGCTGAGAGATAAGCGAAATGAAAACTGTAAAGAGGAATTGATCCATCAGACGATAAATGAAGTGACTAAAGGTCACATGGATGGCACAAAAGCAAATGAGCAAGCGCAGAAGGTGGAAAAGGTCACCGGTGATAAAATGGCTACAGAGAAGCGAACAGATAAAGAAAAGCCGCGAAAATATTACGATGTTCGGACTAACGTTCCACACAGGATTGATAAGTTGAGCGAGATACTGAAAGGTCATAGCACTCCAGCAAAAAGGACAAGTGCTTCCCGATATGGATCCAGGACCAGTATCGCTCATTCCTGTGAAATGTAAGATTCATACACTGAAGATTCAAAACGGAAAATTGCCCAAGAGAATTGAAGCATACACACATGAAGTGAAAGTGGGAGACATAAAGGTCAACGCAATGTTGGACACCGGCGCTGAGACGTCGCTGATCAGCAAACCGTTTTGCGAGAAGAATGGACTTCATATGCTCCCATTGCCACCAGATAGATTGGTGAAGATTAACGGAATTAGCGGAACGTCAGGATTCCTGGTGACGCACTACTGTGTAGCACCAGTGACCTTACGAAAGAAGACAAGCGAACATTCCTTCTACGTCCGACCGAAGTGTGACGACGTACAAGTGTTACTGGGATTCGACTTCTTGGAAAAAAAATTTGTACTGTTGGATAATGAAGGTGAAGAGGAAAAAGAAGATGACCCAAAACCAGTTGCCAAAGTACAAGTCGGAAAGGTCACCGAACTTGCAAAACAGGAAAGGGCTCAAACTGTTAATAAAGCGCTAATCCCAGTACCAGAGGCACCGGGAAACGAAAAGAAAAAGATGACGCGAAAAGAATTGTCACCGTTTGAGCAGTTGCAAGTAATCCAGCAGGAGATCGAAAAGACATTAAATCGGACCTTGCTGACACAGAAGGGAAGAGAAAAGGTCATCCCAGTACCAGAGGCACCGGGAATGACAAAAGTGCAGCAGGAAGAGAACTATCCCAGTACCAGAGGCACTGGAAACGGAAAAGATAATGGAAATGTCGTAAGTTATCCCAGTACCAGAGGCACTGGGAAAGGAAGACAAAAGGTCACCAGCAACTGAGAACTTGGAACGAGAGCGTAATTCGAACCTTTTCGAACCACGATCTGCTACCCAAAATGAAAGGCTACCAGATAAAGCCAAAGAGGAAGTAACAGAACGTGACTCTCAAAAGGAACCCTTTTTCGAACCACGACCTGCTACCGAAAGGTCACCAACGATTGAAGAGATAATTGCCACAC